AGTCCTGTACGTAGACAACAAGGCCATGCTGGCCTTGTGTCGAGAGCAGAGACTGGAGCACAGGACAAAGCACATTGCTCTCCGCTACTTTCTTGCTCGTGAGCTACAGCAGCGTGGACAGTTGCGACTTGCGTATGTGGCCTCTGAGGCCAACACTGCTGATGTGTTCACCAAGGCACTTGCGCCTTGTGATCATCAGCGTTGCTGCACGCAGCTGGGTCTTGTGTCTGTCTTGCCTCACTTGCTCACTTCTTGACCTTCCTTGTACCGTCACATATATATAGTCTTGCTCTTGCTTGCTTGACTCTTGTATATCTCTATATATATGATCTTGCATGTGAACTGGCCTTGTGGCCCTTGAACTTGTGCTCGGAATGTGTGGTGACTTTGTGATCCACCCTGAGCTTTGCTTTGCTTTGCTTGACTAGTCTTGTGACCCCTTGTTCTCCCCCACTTTGCCTATGGGGGTGTGTCAGAACATTATAGCTTACTTATTTGTGTAGGCTATAGTGGGGTATCCCATAGGGGGTACAACCCAGCTAGGGTTTCCTATTTGTACTCACTTCGTTCATAGTTCACACATTCTCTCGTTCACTTCTTGACAGCTGCTATAACAGAAGCGGAGAACTTACCTGTTGTACCGGCTGTTCGTGAGATCGCGAAGCAGGAAGCTGAGAAGGCTGTGAAGCAGTTCAATCAGCATCGTCCTGCTGCTCGTCCGAACAACCGTACTCATCCTAAGCGATCGAACAACAACTCTGCTACGAGTGCTCGGCAGGATAAGGGTACCTCGGTTAAGCGTTCTCTCCCGATTAGAACTAACAAATCGGTTCTGGTGCTCAAGAACAACTCTAAGAAGGTCTCTCCTTCGAAGACCGACAAGAAGAAGAAGTTTTCTAACGGATCTTCTGACGTAGCTAAGACCATGGGACGCTCTTTCACTAAGACCGCGAGCCGTAATCCTGGACACCATCCCAACAGCAAGAAGCAGAAACCGAACACTCCAAAAACAGAGGATCCGGCCACAGAAAAACCAAGCCGCGCTAGCTGCTGACATTCATCAATACGCGCTGATTCTTTTTGGTCGGCGAACGGAGTTTCAGCTGCGTAACTGTGTCAGCAACAAAGGGATCCATAACTACAGCAGTAATATCTTCAATCCTAAAGAGCTAAGTCTACTCGGTCTAGGTCTCACATACATTCCAGTCCCGTGTCTCAGAAGTCTTTCTAGAGCAGAGGTGGAGGTTGATGAGTTCATTCGTATCTCTTTGTATCTCTTTGACGGTGCTGAATTTCAGACAGAGTATCCTGGGTACAAGCTTCCTAAACGAGATAACCGGAACCCGCCAGAAGCTTCTCCTGAAGTCGAAACGGCACTTGCTGTCTTTAAACAATCGGCTCTGGAAAGCATCGGCAATCAACCCTTTACTACTCTTCACCGAAAAAAGAAGAACTACACACAGATCCTGAAACGACTTGGACGAAATCCTAATCTCATCTTTAAGCCAGCTGATAAAAACCTCGGACTAACTGTGATGGACAGGGACTTCTATAAAGAACACTGCTTCAAGCATCTACTTAATCCATCTGTTTTTCGGGAGTACTCATCTGTCCCAGTTTCTCGCATCGTCGATGAACTGGAGCAGATTCGTGCAGATTATAAACCTCTGCTCAGCTCCCGTATCTGGAACTATTTTTTCAAAGCGCCTAAAGGAGGCTGGAAAGTCCCAGCGTTTTACATCATCCTGAAAGTGCACAAAAAGGTTCTTGCTGGACGACCCATTGCGGCGTCTCACTCTTGGGTGACTTCAAACGTCTCCCGCTGGTTGGATGCTGTTTAACGACCGCTTGTAACGGGGCCGCGTAGGGGCGGCAACGGGGCCGCTTAGGGTCGGCAACGGGGCCGCTTAGGGGCGGCGACGGGGCCGCTTAGGGTGAGAGGCGGCGACGGGGCCGCTAGGGGGCGGCGACGGGGCCGCTAGGGGCGGCGACGGGGCCGCGTATGGGCGGCGACGGGGCCGCGTAGGGTGAGAGGCGGCGACGGGGCCGATAGGGGTGGCGACGTGGCCGCTAGGGGCGGCGACGGGGCCGCGTAGGGGCGGCGACGGGGCCGCGTAGGGTGAGAGGCGAAGACGGGGCCGCTAGGGGCGGCGATGGGGCCGCTAAGGGCGGCAACGGGGCCGCGGAGGGGCGGCGACGGGGCCGCTTTGACAGCTTTAAGTCCAAGTTTGACCATCTCCATCCATCCATTAAACTGACCTGGAACATTTCAGTTCATTCCATGGACTTTCTGGACGTTACTTTCTTTACGGGTAAACGTTTCAAGAATAGGGTATCCTGGATTGCAAGCTCTTCCAGAAGCCGATGAACCGATATCTCTGTTTACCGTTCAACTCGTACCATACCAGGAGCACTAAAGTGAGCTTCATTCGTAGCGAATTGAGAAGATTCCTTCTGCAATCCTCCTCGCGCGAAGATGTTTTCAACTCCTGCGCCTTATTTTTCGCAAGACTTCGTGTTCGCGGTTACCCCGAACGGTTTCTTCTCCCCATTTTCAAGAGAGTCAGTTTCTCTGAACGTTCTGAACTTCTACTACGCGCCGATTCTCTTCGCAACTCCTCAAGTCGCGCCCCCCTGGTGATGAAATGTCTGCTCAACCCGTTGGTTGATCGTTCGCGCCTGGGGTCCTTGCATGGAAATTGCCAAAAAGGGTTGGAAGCTTTTTAGTTTCTGCTCGTAAGTGCTAGCGTAGTGTAATTCTGTTACTGTAGAAGTTTTTGCTGAGACTTGGGTTTCCCTGCGAGCTCAATAGCAATATAGATTTTCAAAACAAATGTTTTTCTTACTATAGATACATACATATCTCCAATCGTGATTGAAGTGTGAAATGTTGTATTAGATCGCCAATGTGCGGTGCGCAATTATTGCTCCGCCGCACATCCCGCGCAACTCGTGAATGGTGATCGCGCAGCGAGCCACCTCCCAGCTTACATCGATCCCAAAAGAAAACCTCTCCACCACTCCTGGCCGCTAAAATACTTTCCTTACCCGATTCTCTGTTTCATAATTTCGATGTGCCGTCACTACGACCAGAGCGCTAGCAGACTTGGGTGGCCTAAGTTCCCCAGTAATCACCGCCGCATCCAACGCTATGAGGCCCAAATCGACCCAGGCGCTACGAGAAGCCTCATGGGGGCGAGCCTCCTCATCTGATGCCGAGCCGCAACATTACAGCGAAGTCTGCAATCGGCACTCATGCTTAGTAGCCGCATATAACGCGGAGGGAGTTGGAAACAACTCATTCAACAGACCTTCTTCTACCAGATTCAGCAGTAAAACCAATTCAGTACAGCCTTTCTCAGAGCTTCCTCTCCAGCTAAACTGATAGCAACAGCCAACATCATGGGCACGTCTCGCCCTCGCAAGTTTCTGCTCGCCCTCGTCCTTGTGGCGTCTCTGAACTTCCTCGCTGCTTTCGCGGCGCTCCCTCCGGATGGTTATTACGACATCAACGAGCCCGCCGGTCTCGAGGAAGCATACGACGCGCGCGCGCTCCTCGAGGCCAAAAGCGAGGCTGCAGTTGACTCCGTTGACTGGGTTGAATCCGATAACTCGGAGGATCCGCGAATTTTGGCGGATGTGGCAGCGGACTTGAAGCAGCCATCGGAGTTGGACGGCGCCAGTGGCAGCGCGAAGAAATCGCCGCTCGACGGGCAGGCGGCGACGAACGCGCGCGCGCCAGTGGACTCCGTGGCTTCACCCAATGGCAAGTCCATCGCCGCGCGGCCCAAGAAGGGGAAGCAGGGGAAGAAGAAGCACTGCGTGCGGCGTAGGAGAGGCAGGTGCGTCAAGTGGGCAGCGACGAGGAAACATTATACTCGAATGACCAAGAAGACAACCGGCTACCTGAAAATTGCTGACAAGGCATCCGCGAAGCCCAAGGGCGCTGAGAGTGGCGTGCCGGCAGTTGGGAAGCAGGAGGCGGCACCCGTCAGCACCTTTGAGTCGACTCAAAAGAAGGGGGCGGGAGCTGTCAGCACCTCGGGCGCCGACAGCAACTCGGGCGCAGCCCCCCAGCCGCGCGCGCTTCTCGGGGGCGATAGTGATGACTCCACTGAATCCGTTGACTCCGTTGATTTCGAGGACCCGCGGGTGCTCCGTGATGTGGCGGCGGACTTGAAGTGGTCGTCGGATGATCTCAGCGGCGCCGTGAAGAACTCGCTCGGGAAGGCGGGGAGGAACGCGCACAAATTGGTCGAGAAGGTGTTCCGCCCTGACAGGTTCCCCAGGGTGAGGCCCGTCCTCAAGCCAGTCACCAAGCCTGGCTCGAAGCCGCTCGTGGGGGTGAGGCCCGTGCTCAAGCCGGTCACCAAGCCTGGTGTGCGGCCTTTCGGGAAGCCGGTCACCTCAGGCTGGCCTGGTGTGCTGCCTGGCTCGAAGCCGCTCACCAAGCCTGGTGTGCGGCCTTTCCCGAAGCCGGTTACCAAGCAGCATTTGCCGAAGCTGGTCACCAAGCCTAGTGTGCAGCCGGAGATTTAAGAAGTCGGAGATTCGAAGCTTGCAATGGAACGGGGAGGGTGGCAGCAAGGGGAAGGGAGCAGCAGCAGACAGCAGCTAGTTCTGCTGCTGCTGTGGTGTGTGTGTGTGTGTGTGTGTGTGTGTGTGTGTGTGTGTGTGTGTGTGTGTGTGTGTGTGTGTGTGTGTGTTTGTTTGTGTGTGTGTGTGTGTGTTGTTTGTGTGTGTGTGTGTGTGTGAGGGGAGGGGGGGCGAGGAGGCGGATGTGAGGGGGGCTGCTATATGTTCGTGCTATCGCAGGGGCGTGCGGGAGCATCAGAGGTGGTGTGGAGGGCGGGAGATGAAGGGGCAAGATAGGCTGCAAGGAATAGAGTGTTGGAAGAACACGCTGGATGTTTTCTACATCGCTTTTGCCTTTCTTTGCATTTGGTGGGCTGTTGATAATGAAGCTATGCCTTTGCCAATGCCGCTGTTCTCTGGCTCTCCTACGGTATCTCCCAGACCAGACCATCCGGCTCTTTCTGTAATCCATCGCCCACCAGCGTTCTTACACTCAAGCTATCCTGAGCACAGTATGCGACAACAAAGCTTGCTATTTCATGCATATGTCACTGGTAATTGTCTCAGAACTATTTATGCGACAATGCGTCTCCATCCTTCACCAAGAACAGCTATCGTATTATGCCTACTTTTCAGACCCCTTTTTATAGTGCCATTCAGTTACATTAGTAAACAAAGGACCGGAGAACATTCCTTATCCCAGGACACATATGAATTCCCAAATTTTCCAATCACAGGTTACACACCACACCAGCGATTTGTGATTTGTGAATTCTACCGGTACATAGAATCAACCATCCTCAATAACTGCGCTAGTTTCCACCCAACGCCGCCCATTCCAGATCTGCCATGGTAGGTCCCACGCCTCCTCCTCCCCTTCCTCCCTCCACCTGACTCCCTGCACTTCCCTTCCCCTTCCCTTGCTCCTTGCTCCCCACCCCCCTCTCACCCCCCTGAACCGCCGTCAACCCCACTCCTGCTCCTCCTGCTCCTGCTCCTCCTGCCATTCCTACTCCTGCTGCTGCTGCTCCCTCTTTCCTCCCACTCTCCGCAATCCTAGCCTTGGCAGCAAATTCTCTCTCAAACTGGCCGAAATCCACAGGCACAGCAATGGTCGCTGGGCCACGCTTCGGCTCGCCTGCCCCTTCAAGCACCGAAAGGTCAAGCGGGGCCGACATGCCCTCTACACCACTAGAGCCAGCACGAGGAGGTGGGGGGCGTGAGAACAGAGCATCGTCTTGTGTGAGGGAATCAGGTGCGGTCCAGTTCCCTCCTGCAGCAGCAGTAGCAAGGGACCAGGTTGGTGCTGCTGCTGCTGCTGCCGCTGCTGCAGCAGAAGACTGGAACCCTCCTGCAAACCCTCCTGCTGCTCCCGCTGCTCCGAACCCCAAACTGCCATCCTCAGAGGTTTGAGCAACAGAGAATTCCCGAGGGGGGACGATTTGGATGGGCGGGTCTTTGGTGGTGGGAGCGAGCGTCTGGAAGGGGTCTTCGGAGGCCTGGGTGTTGGCGAAGAGAGTGTTGAAATGCGCTGTGTGCAGCATGTTGTGCCGCTTCAGCTGCACCTCCTCCTTCTGCAGCCATCGGTTCCATTGCTTCAGGAGAGTTGCGAGCGTGGGCCGGCCGTGAGACTGGAGGGTTGAGGACGGGGAGACAAGAGAAAGAGAGAAAGGGGAATTGAGGAGAGAGCGTACGTGACAAGAGCAGCTGCACCTCCTCCTTCTGCAGCCACCGGTTCCATCGCTTCAGGAGATTTGCCAGAGTGGGCCGGCCGTGGGACTGGGGGTGAAGGGGTGGAGAATGGGAGGTGGGAGAGGAGGAGAGGCCTTGAGAGTGAGTTAGGTGGTGCTTCAGTTGCACCTCCTCCTTCTGCAGCCATCGGTTCCATTGCTTGAAGAGAGCTGCCAGGGCGGGGCGGCCGTGGGACTGGGGGTTGCGGGAGAAGGGAAGAGATAGATTATTGTTATGTAACGGCCATGCAGACTTGTGTGTGACTCGTCATGTGGCTATTGTTATCTTCGTGTGACTCTATTTATGTGATATTATCCGTGTGATTCTATCTATGTTATACTATCCATGTGACCATGTGACTCTACCAGGGCGTGCAGGGCAGCTTCAGTCAGGCACCATGCCACAACAGCCCACGTCAGACCACGTCAGCCCATGCCTTCTCCAATGCATTATGCATCATGCGGGCCTCTATTCGTGTGACAGTATTCGTGTGACAATATTCGTGTGACAGTATTTGTGTGACAGAATTGCTGCCACTCACCAGGGCGTGCAGGGCAGCTTCAGGCACCATGCCCGTGTCAGCCCATGCCTTCTCCAGCATATTCGCATCCCCTAGCAGCGCTGCCGCACACGCTGCCTCCCTCCCACACCCTCCTCGCACGAGTGACTGGATTTGCATCTGCAATCGGGTGGCGGGTGAGTGAAGAGGAGAGAGTGATGTGAGAATCTAGAGCATCAGGCAGACATATCTGGCATTTAAAAGGATCTCCAGCAGACTCGCCCCTGGCAGCTGCCCTGTCGCCCTGTGAGATGCACACGGATCTACAGCAGCGCCTTGAGAAGCCACCTTGTGTGTGGGAGTGCCTCACCTGCACCTGCAGCCTCGTCCCTCCGTGCACGGCAAGCCTCAAGGAAACCCTCCGCTGCACAGCTGGCAGCAGCGCGCCCTCCAGCAGAGTTGCCTCCCCCATCTGGCAGAGCGCCTTCTAAGATGCATACATATCTATAGCAGGCAGGTGTGCTGCTCACCTGCAGTCTCGTGCCCTCCCCATGCAGGGCCAGTCGCAGAGACACCCTCCGCTGCACGGCTGGCAGCAGAGCACCCTCCAGCAGACTCGCCCCCGCCAGCTGGCGCAGCGCTCGCACCGCCACGTCAGCCTGCCCCGTGGCGTCCGCTGCGTCAACAAGGTCGAGGAATTCAGAGGCGTAGCGCGCCACGCCCACTGCCGCCTCCATCATGCTGGGGAAGTTGGAAGGGGTGGAGAGGGGCTGAAGAGTTGTTATTAAGAGGAGCCAGCTGGGTGCCATGTGGAACTCTGAGGCTTAGTGAGCCACCCCCACTGCTGCCTCCATCATGCTGCTCAAGAAGAGATGAGAAGTGTAAGGGGGTAGAGTATTCAGTTTGGGAAATGGAAAGGGGGAATGAGAGGAGGGGGTCAGCCTGCCCTGCCCCGTGGCGTCCGCCGCGTCGACCAGGTCGAGGCACAGCGCGCCACCCCGACCGCTGCCTCCATCATGCTGGTTGTGGGGATAGGGGTGATTGAGAAGTTGGGATCTGAGAGCTAGGACTTGCGGGAATGAGAGGAGGGGTCAGCCATGGCGAGGATACCAGTGGAGAGTCCATCCGACTGTCCATGGCTGCATCGACATTTGCCAAGGGTGCCCCCTACCTTGATGCTCTATGTAACACTGCCTCTGCCTCGGACAACCCCCAGCAGCGCTCTCTCTCTCACCCCCGCACTCACTTGGCTTGACTTGCCGCCATGGCGATGACACCAGTGGAGTCCGTCTGGCTGTCCATGGCTGCATCGACATCGAGGGTCCCACATCGCACCCCCCATCAGTGCTCAACACTCACTCACCCAGCCAGCAAGGGTATGAAGCTCTCAAAAACCAGCACTCACTTGGCCTGCGAGGCCACCATGGCAAGGATGCCAGTGGAGTCCATCTGGTTGTCCATGGCTGCATTGGCAGTGGCCACGGTGGCTCGCAGCTCCCCTGTGCCGAATGAATCACACCCTCACCAGCCCAACAGCAGGCAGCAATCATACCAGCACTCACTTGGCTTGACTTGCTGCCATTGCGAGGATCCCCGTGGAGTCCATCTGGCTGCCATCGCTGCACCAGCATGGTGCAGGAACCTTATTGTACCGCACACCACCGCTCATCACTCACTTGGCCTGACTTGCAGCCATGGCGAGGATGCCAGTGGAGTCCATCTGGCTGTCCATGGCTGCACCAGCATTGAAGGTCCCACACTCCCTACCAGTGCTCATCACGGTACGAATGAAGCTTCCTCAGTCCCACACCGCACACCACTGCTCATCACTCACTTGGCTTGTGATGCCGCCATAGCAAGGATCCCAGTGGAGTCCATCTGGCTGTCCATGGCCGCATCGGCATCAGCCACGGCCGCCCCCGAGGAGGACATGGGGCGGGAGAGCGCCATGAGGCAATGCAGAGCGCGATCCAACTCGCCACAGGAGAGAGCCAGCTCACATTCGAACCTGCCAAGGAGAGGGGGAACGGGGGAGGAGCATTAGGAGTATCAGCACCGGCATCAGCAGCGGTAGCACCAGCACTGGCAGCAGCAGCAACGGCAGCGGCAGCAAGGGCAGCGGCGGCAGCAGCAGCAGCATCGGCATCGGCATTTGTGCCCCCGAGGCAGACATGGGGCGGGAGAGCGCCATGAGGCAGTGCAGAGCGCGGTCTCACTCGCCACATGACAGTGCCAGCTCGTATTCGAATCTGATGGGGAGGGAGGGGGAAAGAAGCAGTAGCAGCATGAGCAGGGGCCAGGGAGCCCCGAGGGGGACATGGGGTGGGCAGTGCAGCGCGTGGTCCAACTCAACTCGCCACATGACAGTGCCAGCTCGTATTCGAATCTGATGGGGAGGGAGGGGGAAAGAAGCAGTAGCAGCATGAGCAGCGGCCAGGGAGCCCCGAGGGGGACATGGGGTGGGCAGTGCAGCGCGTGGTCCAACTCAACTCGCCACATGACAGTGCCAGCTCGTATTCGAATCTGATGGGGAGGGAGGGGGAAAGAAGCAGTAGCAGCATGAGCAGGGGCCAGGGAGCCCCGAGGGGGACATGGGGTGGGCAGTGCAGCGCGTGGTCCAACTCAACTCGCCACATGACAGTGCCAGCTCGTATTCGAATCTGATGGGGAGGGAGGGGGAAAGAAGCAGTAGCAGCATGAGCAGGGGCCAGGGAGCCCCGAGGGGGACATGGGGTGGGCAGTGCAGCGCGTGGTCCAACTCAACTCGCCACATGACAGTGCCAGCTCGTATTCGAATCTGATGGGGAGGGAGGGGGAAAGAAGCAGTAGCAGCATCAGCACCGGCCAGGGAGCCCCGAGGGGTACACAGGGCGGGCAGTGCAGAGCGCGGTTTAACTCGCGACATGACAGTGCCAGCTCGTACTCAAACCTGCTTGGGAGGGGGAGGGGGGACGGGGGAGGGAGAGGGGATAGGAGCAGTAGCAGCAGCAGTGGCGGTGGTGTCGGTGGCGGCAGCAGCATCATCAGCATGCCACCATGAATTGTGCACGAAGCATCGCATCCTACCTACCTGCATACACTATACTGCCGTAACTCCAATCCATTTCACTCCACCCATCTCTTGGACAATCCAGGCAGGTGCAGCGCGTCCCTGGCATACCCCATGGAACCACGCCCTGCCCTCCATGATTTAAGTGTGAAAGAACTACCCTGCGGCCCTTCCTACGCTCTACTTCATCGCCCCTTCACAAACACGCTTGCCCACCCACCTCTTGGACAGACCGGGCAGGTGCAGTGCCACTCTCGCGTACCCCATGCCCACCATGAACTGTGTGAGCCAGCCCCCTGCATACATACATGCATGTACCATACTGTAGTCAATACCATACCTCTTGGACAGCCCTGGCAGGTGCAGCGCCCCTCTCGCATACCCCATGCCCATCATGAACTGCGTGAGTGAACACCCTGTATACATGCCTGCATGTACCATACTGTAGCAGTCATTACCATACCTCTTGGACAAGCCAGGCAGGTGCAGCGCCTCTCTCGCGTACCCCATGCCCACCATGAACTGCGCCAGGTCGTCATGGTGCTCTCGGCCCAGGCGGGACGCCCTGGTGGCGAGTGGTTACGGGAGGTGGCGAGGGGTTGTGAGGGATTGGGAGAATTACGGAGACAATAGGGAGAGAAGGGGCATGAGGCTTCAAATGGGTGAGGGGGCCATGAGAGGATAGGATAGGTGAGGGGGTGGCAAGAAGGAGAGAACGCGGAGAGAGAGCAAGGAGCGCAAGGAATGAGTAGTAAGTGAGGATCATAGTGAGGTGGTGGGGAGGATCAACATGAGCAGTAAGTGAGGGAATTGAGAGGAAGACAAAAAAAAGGCGCAGACCAGTTAATGGCGGCAATGCGCTTGACATGAGTAGAGAGGTAGAGATGGATAAAGAGAGGTGGAGAGGGAAGAAGAGATGGAGGGGTAGAGAGGAGGCACGCACCATTTGACAGCACCAACGGGGTCGCCATGAGCAGCGAGGCATCGGCAGCGCACTCCGGGGTGGGAGAGGGAGATGGCATGCGCTGTCATGTACCTGGTGAGAGGGGTGGGTGAGGGAGGTGAGGGGGGTGAGAGCAATGACACAGTGTAGGGTAAGGGTGGCGTGGGCGGTGAGGGTTGAAGGGGTCAGGATGGAAGGCGCGTTAAGATCAACGAGGGAAGAGGGGGAAGGGGAGACACTAAAGAGAGGACTATGGGCCTTTCTACTCAGAGACCACCACAGCAACTTTACTCACCGGTCCACGAGCCACAGGACGCCGTCTCGCACCCCCACCACATACACCTGCCCCACCGGCCGCCGCTGCTCCATCGGCAGCCGCCCGGCTGCCACCGGCACGCCCCCGCCGCCCACCACCACTTCGGGCGGCTTCACCTCGGGGCCGTCCAGCAGCCCCGGGCCTGATGACGTGCCGGGCGGCGCTGACGTGGCGTCGGCTGATAGGCTGCAGGCCCGAGCCATGGCTGAGATTGGAGGGACTGCTGGGGGCGAGGAGAAGGAGGCGAGGCGGACCACCTGGTGGGGAGGGGGAAGAAGGGAGGGAGAAGGAACAGGGAGCGAGTGAGCTTAGTCCATTCACTCACCTACACACCCAGCTCGCCCTTCACAGGCTCACAAGATAACCGGCATCCTGCTGTAACACGCTACACCGCACCGCACCACACTCACCTGCAGCATGGGCGGTCACAGCTGCATTCTCTCAGGTGCCTCCTCCTCCTCCGTCGTGGGTGGTTCCATCATGGCCAGCAGAGCCAGCTCGCCCTTTCCTGGCTCACAGGTGAACAAAGACACCCTACTGTAACACGCTGCACTGCACTGCACCGACTCACTTGCAGCATGGGAGGCCGCAGCTGAACCCTCTCCGGTGCCTCATCTGTCCTGGGAGGCGCCATGGCCAGCAGTGCCAGCTCACCCTTCCCAGGCTCACAGGAGAAGAAGCAACCTACTGTAACATGCTGCACTGGATTGCACCGCAGTGCACCACCACTCACCTGTAGCATGGGCGGCCGCAGCTGCACCCGTTCAGGCGCCTCCTCCGTCTTGGGAGGCGCCATGGCCAGCAGAGCCAGCTCGCCCTTCTCAGGCTCACAAGCGGGCACACCCTACTGTAACATGCTCCACCGCACTGCACCACAGTTCACCGCACTCACCTGCAGCATGGGAGGCCGCAGCTGAACCCTCTCCGGTGCCTCCTCTGTCTTGGGAGGCGCCATGGCCAGCAGAGCCAGCTCACCCTTCTCTGCCACCACTTTAGCCTCCTCCTCCCTCCTCTTCCTCTCCTCCTTGCGCCTCCTTGTTTCCAGGTCGATCGCACTCACACCCGCATCCACAAACACACACCTGGATGGAGAGGGGGCAGAAGGGAGAGAGGAGAAGAATGGAGAGGGTAGCATGGACGGTAACACATGCCCCCCCATGGCGCCCCTGACCGCCAGGTGGGCCAAGCAACGGAACTGCGGAGGCATCGTGGCCACCACAATCTGCGTGGCGTTGGTGCGGCTTTTGAGGATTCTCAAGAGTCGCACCAATATAGCGTTGTATGGAGAACGAGTACAACACTAGGCACAGCAGACCTCCTCACACTCATGCACTGCACTCGTAACATATTCCATAACGCCCTTCGATTCGAACCCCCTTAACCCTTCATAACCCCTCAGAAACACTGAATCCACGAACTAAGCCAAAAGGAACCAGAAAACCCACTCGACTGAGGTGGGCGTAGCCAGGAAGAGTTGGCGGTGGTGCCATGTGCCTCCTGTCGCCCCTCTGCCTGCCACGTGCCCCAGGCAGCGGAACTGCGGGCGCAGCGCACAGCAAACTGATGCACTCCACAAAAACCCCTCAGGACCCCTCCAAACCCCTTAAACCACTCACTCGACAGAGGTGGGGGTAGCCAGAAAGAGCTGACGCCGGTGCCAGGTTCCTCCCGTTGCCCCCCGCACGGCCACGTGACCCAGGCAGCGGAATTGCGGGCGGAGGGTAGCGACCACGATGTGCGTGGCGTAGGCAAAGGCGCAGTACTCTACTATGGGGTCCCACGCGGTCCAGTGCGGTTCTGGAAGCATGCCGCTGACCGGCTTGAACGTCTCCCAGCTGAGAAGGGGAAGTTAGAAGGGGAGAGAAGGGAGACGATGGTTGAGGGCGAGAGGGAAAGAGGGAGGCAAAGGTGTGATATTCCACTACAGGGTCCCATGCACTCCAGTGCAGTTCTGGAAGCCCGCTGATTGGCTTGAACGTCTCCCAGCTGAGAAAGGGAAGTTGGAAGGGGAGAGAAGGGAGACGATGGTTGAGGGCGAGAGGGAGGCAAAGGTGCAATATTCCACTACAGGGTCCCATGCAGTCCAGTGCGGTTTTGAGAGCATGCCGCTGATTGGCTTGAATGTCTTCCAGCTGAGAATGGGAAGGGAGCGGTTGAAGAAAGGAAGAGGTGCGACAGGGACGGGGAGTGGGAAGTGGGAGAAAGGGTGAGGGCAGCCGGAGCAGACAGTTGGTAGAAGGATGGGGAGGAAGTTAAGGTGAAATACGAGAACGTGAGACACTGATAGAGAGAAGGTTTGAAAGGCTGATGGGCTGACTGATTGTTAGGGAAAGGGAGTACCTTATAAGGTGGAAGTTTGGCGGGTGCTCACTGTAGTCAGCCATTGATTCTGAATGGGCGAGAGGATGATGAGGAAATAGGAATTTGGAGCATGAAGAACAAAATAACCAAGCTAAAGGGCCTCATAATGCTCAAACTGCCATGACATGTGTGTTTCCACGCAACAGGAGTTTTTTTAGAATTCTCAGGCGTTTTAGCGTTCTAGCGGGCCCAACCCACCAGCTCGGGAGGAGAGGGCAGCAGAGGGCAGGCTGACCCCCTACGAGGATCCTTGCTGCTCTTCACACCAGTCCTGCCCTTAGCTTCTCAGGAATCCAGAGGCCCCAGACCCCAACCCACCAGCTCGTGAGGAGAGCGCAGCAGAGGGCAGGCTGACCCCTGGCAGAGATGTCTTCTTGGGCATGCGATAGGCCACTCCCAGCAGCGCGCCTGGGAAGAGCCCTATGACCTGCAGAGACAGCACCAGAGGTTGGAACGCCTTGTGAGAGCCATGAGAAGACCTGTGAACTGCAGGGTTGGGACCAGAGGGCGTACGAAATCCCGCTCGCGGCGTCCAGATTCACTGAATCCAGTTTCCAGACGTCTCAATTCTCAGTTTACTTCCCACACACCTGCTCGCGGCGTCCAGATTCAATGGATGTGCACATGATCTGCACTTTCCCGTCCTTCCGGATCTGCCGGACCTCCACAGTCGCCCCGGCCAGAGCTGCAGCTGCAGCAGCCATGGCAGCCGCAGCTGCCGCCTCTGCCTCTTTGGCATCCTTCTTGCTTCGCCCTCTGAACCCGTGCCTGCCTGAACTGGCAGAGCTGCTCTGCACCTGAGGGAAGGAGAATACCAGACAGGAGGCGCAAGAGGGAGGGACAGGGAAGAGAGTTGAATTCTGCTGTCTCTGCCTCTTTGGCATCCTTCTTGCTTCGCCCTCTGAACCCGTGCCTGCCTGAACTGGCAGAGCTGCTTTGAACCTGGAGGGGGAAATAACACGGGTGGGGTTGGGAAGGGTGGGAGGCAGAGCGAGATAAGAGTTTCAAGAGTGGTAGCCACTGCCGCCTCCGCCTCTTCGGAATCCTTCTTGCTTTGCCCTCTGAACCCGTGCCTGCCTGAACTGGCAGAGCTGCTTTGAACCTGGGTTGGGCGGAACAGGGGTGGGGTGGGAAGGGTAGGAAGCAAACAAAAAAAGGGTTTAGAAAGTGGTAGCCACTGCTGCCGCCTCTGCCTCCTTTTGAGACGTCTCAAAAGCCATCAGGACGTCTCAAAAGTCAGGAGGCGCAAAAGAAAAGGGTTTTGAAAGTGGTTCGCTGCTGCCGCCTCTGCCTCCTTGGCACCCCTCTTGCTTTTTATCTAGAATTTGTGCCTGCCTGAACTGGTGGTAAGGTTGCTCTGCACCTGGGGGGACGGTCCGAGGGCGAGAGGCAAGTCCGAGGTGACAGAGATTGCAGGCACAGGCAGCTCAGAAGAACGCAGAGCCGCAGAGGTGATGGCATCATGGCAGTGGCAGTGGCATTACCTTGGGCACCACGGCCCCTCCCAGGATGGCAAAGCGGTCCTGACATGTGTCCCAGGCGAAGTGGCGCGCCGTGCCCGAGTCCACAACTCCCCAGTCCTCTGTGCTGTACACGCTGTAGAAAGGGACTTCTGGCCACAGCACTGCAAGATATCTGATAAAAAAGGAGTGACGGAAAGTGAGGGACGAAATAAGGGAGGTGAGGGACCAAGGGAAAGTGGCGACCCGTGCCCGAGTCCACCACTCCCCAGTCCGCTGTGCTGTAAACGCTGTAGAACGGCACCTCGGGCCACAGCACTGCCAGGTACCTGGAGTGGTTGTGGGGTTCAATCCAATGGAAAGGGGCGAGGGATGGAGGGGCGCAGGATCAGGGCCACTCAAACAGTTCGACTCGGTGTGTTGCTTGAGGTCGGAAGAGCATGAACTGCTCCAACTGCTCAGTGCAGGTGGTAAGCTGGAGGAGCTAAGGGTGCAACAAAATGACACATTCTCAGATGCAGTGGTAGCGAGAGGCACGCTGGGAAATTTTACACCTGACCACGGTCGAACAAACGAGCAATCACAGCGAGCTTCCGCTACCACTGCGTTTAGAAAGATGTCACTCTGTTGCGACCTTAGCCCCTCCAGCTTAGCACATGCACTGAGCAGTTTAAATCGTTCCTGCTCCTCCTACCGTAAGCAGCACACCAAGGTGAGCCGTTCAAGCTACCTAGTGCAGTTCTTGTGGAATCAATGAAGCGAAGGGCCAAGGGTAAGGCGTGAAGGGCCAAGGGTAAGGCGTGAAGGGCCAAGGGTAAGGCGTGAAGGGCCAAGGGTAAGGCGTGAAGGGCCAAGGGTAAGGCGTGAAGGGCTGCACTGCAGCACTGCCACGTTCTTGATGACGGGAGTTGGTCGGTTTGGTTTGTAATCTCAAGATTAGGGCTTGCATAATAGTCAGACATTGTTGCATTGCAAAGCCTGATAGTCATTGTGGCAAGCCTCAGTTGGAGGGATGTCCATCATGGGTATGACTACTTACTTGCCGGACCTACTTACTTGCCGGACCTACTTACTTGCCGGACCTACTTACTAGCCGGACCTACTTACTTGCCGGACTTGCTGACAGAGAGGTGCGAGTAGCTCTCATGTGCAACAGGTACTGCTCTCCGCCTCTCCTGCTTCACCTGCACGTAGGGTGAGCAGGTGGGGTGAGCGGGTGGAGTGGGGAAGCAACACAAGCAGGAAGGCAAAACAGAAACACCATACAAGAGCTTTGAGCTTTTATAAACTGACAATGAGGTGATTCGGATATTGTCCGTCCACGTGCACTCTATACCCTTTAAGGACCGACTCACCTCAGGCACAGCAGCTTCACGCGTCCACCCTGGTGACTACTGCAGGAATGACGGGCCTCTGGCTGCCACTGTCCCCACCCCCCTCCCGAGCCCCCCTTCGCCCCAGTCACACCCCCTCAAATTCATACCCGTTACAGACTCAACTCACCTCAGGCACGGCAGCTTCAAGCACATCCACTCTCGTGACTACAGCAGGAATGACGGGCCTCTGGCTGCCACTCTCCCCCCACCCACCACAGTCACACTCACTCGCTGCATACTCAGCCTAGTTACACCTCTCTCAAGGCAATACTGACTCACGTCAGGCACGGCGGCTTCAAGGGCATCCACCCGTGTGACTCCAGCCGGGGTGACGGGCCTCTGACTGCCACTGCGCTGCCCCCTTCCCAACCAGCCACCCTCAAGACAGCGCTAAACTCACCTCAGGCACGGCAGCTTCAAGCGCATCCACCCGTGTGACTCCAGCGGGAGTGACGGGCCTCTGACTGCCACTGCCCCCGCCCCCCGCCACAGTCACACCCGCCCCAGGCCCAACCTGCCCTGCTGTTAGCAGCTGGAAGGCGAGCGCGTTCAGCCCCCTTCCCAGGCAGAACGCCACCTGAGGGGTTGAGGGGAGGGGACGGGTGGTAGTAGGTTGGGAATATACGCCTCACAAACACTACCAGATCGAACCATTTTCTGAGTCTAGACGAGTCAGCAGCTGGAAGGCGAGCGCGTTCAGCCCCCTGCCCAGGAAGAACGCCACCTGAAAGGGAGTGAGAGAAGGGGTAAGAGGGAAAGAGTAGCGATGGAGGAGGGCAGGCGAGGGTGAGTCAATGAGTAGCTGGAACGCCAGCTCATTCAGCCCCTTGCTCAGGCAGCAGAACGCCACCTGGAGGAGAAGAGGAGGGGGAATTGGTGGTAGTAGGCTGGAGCATGGGGCTGCACTGGCAGCCTCTGATCTACCTCACTCACTCTCTTATACCATGAGAACACTCAGTGTTGGCTGTGGCCACACCAGCAGTTTGGTCCAAGGCGTTCTTGGCTCATCCAAGTTCCAACTCTAGGGGCTAGTGAGTTCGGTCGGAGGCTACTGGAATTACCCACTCAATCCCTTGTGCACAGCATATCTGGTGTGCCGCCCGTAGTCACCATGTGCATACCATACAATACAAGGTGTGCTGCCCGTAGTCACCATGTGCATACCATACAATACAAGGCGTGCTGCCCATAGTCATGATGTGCATACCATACAATACAAGGTGTGCCGGCCATATGCACCATGTGCCCACCTGGTGCTGCCTGGAGCCCTGTGGTGTGGGATGGGAAGCGCTGCTGCGGGAGGCACGGTCGAAGCAGATGAGCATCACCCCCGCGTTGGGGCCACACTCGCTCACTCACTCAGGCACTCACTCACACGTGCATCCTGATATCCCTCGCATCCCATTTGCCCACCTGGTGTTGCCGGGAGGCCTGTGGCGTGGGGAGGGCTGCTGCAGGGGGCACGGCAGTGCGGTCGAAGCAGATGAGCATCACCCCCACGTTGGTACCACACACACTCACTTACTCAGTCCCTCACTCACATGTGCACTTTAATATCCCTCGCTCCCATCCCAAATCCTCACCTGGTGCTGCCTGGATCCCTGGGTTGTGGGCAGTGCAGCTGCAGGGGGCACGGCAGTGCGGTCGAAGCAGATGAGCATCATCCCCACCCACGTTGGTGCCACACACTCATCCGCTCGCTCACTCACTCACTCGCTCACTCACTCACTCAATCACATGTGCACTCTAATTCTAATATCCCTCGCTCCCATCCCAAATCCTCACCTGGTGCTGCCTGGATCCCTGGGGTGTGGGGAGAGCGGCTGCAGGGGGCACGGCAGTGCGGTCGAAGCAGATGAGCATCACCCCCACGTTGGTGCCACACACCACCAGATGAGGCTGTAGGCTGTGCGGCATCATGCAGTAGATCTGATGCAGAGAGAGAAGGGGACAATGGGGACGAGGAGTGAGAGGGGGAGAGAAAGAGGAAGGGGTGGAAGCAGATGAGCTTCACCCCCACGTTGGTTCCGCAGACCACCAGATGTGGCTCCAGGCTGTGCGGCTCCAGGCTGTGAGACTGCAGGCTGTGAGACTGCAGGCTGTGAGACTGCAGGCTGTGAGACTGCAGGCTGTGAGACTGCAGGCTGTGAGACTGCAGGCTGTGAGACTGCAGGCTGCGAGACTGCAAGCTGTGAGACTGCAGGCTGTGAGACTGCAGGCTGTGAGACTGCAGGCTGTGAGACTGCAGGCTGTGAGACTGCAGGCTGTGAGACTGCAGGCTGTGAGACTGCAGGCTGTGAGACTGCAGGCTGTGAGACTGCAGGCTGTGAGACTGCAGGCTGTGAGACTGCAGGCTGTGAGACTGCAGGCTGTGAGACTGCAGGCTGTGAGACTGCAGGCTGTGAGACTGCAGGCTGTGAGACTGCAAGCTGTGAGACTGCAGGCTGTGAGACTGCAGGCTGTGAGACTGCAGGCTGTGAGACTGCAGGCTGTGAGACTGCAGGCTGTGAGACTGCAGGCTGTGAGACTGCAGGCTGTGAGACTGCAGGCTGTGAGACTGCAGGCTGTGAGACTGCAGGCTGTGAGACTGCAGGCTGTGAGACTGCAGGCTGTGAGACTGCAGGCTGTGAGACTGCAGGCTGTGAGACTGCAGGCTGTGAGACTGCAGGCTGTGAGACTGCAGGCTGTGAGACTGCAGGCTGTGAGACTGCAGGCTGTGAGACTGCAGGCTGTGAGACTGCAGGCTGTGAGACTGCAGGCTGTGAGACTGCAGGCTGTGCGGCTGCAGGCTGTGTGGCTGCAGGCTGTGCGGCTGCAGGCTGTGTGGCTGCAGGCTGTGCGGCTGCAGGCTGTGTGGCTGCAGGCTGTGCGGCTGCAGGCTGTGTGGCTGCAGGCTGTGCGGCTGCAGGCTGTGCGGCTGCAGGCTGTGTGGCTGCAGGCTGTGCGGCTGCAGGCTGTGTGGCTGCAGGCTGTGCGGCTGCAGGATGTGTGGCTGCAGGCTGTGCGGCTGCAGGCTGTGTGGCTGCAGGCTGTGCGGCTGCAGGCTGTGTGGCTGCAGGCTGTGTGGCTGCAGGCTGTGCGGCTGCAGGCTGTGTGGCTGCAGGCTGTGTGGCTGCAGGCTGTGTGGCTGCAGGCTGTGCGGCTGCAGGCTGTGTGGCTGCAGGCTGTGCGGCTGCAGGCTGTGTGGCTGCAGGCTGTGCGGCTGCAGGATGTGTGGCTGCAGGCTGTGCGGCTGCAGGCTGTGTGGCTGCAGGCTGTGCGGCTGCAGGCTGTGTGGCTGCAGGCTGTGTGGCTGCAGGCTGTGCGGCTGCAGGCTGTGTGGCTGCAGGCTGTGCGGCTGCAGGCTGTGTGGCTGCAGGCTGTGTGGCTGCAGGCTGTGCGGCTGCAGGCTGTGTGGCTGCAGGCTGTGTGGCTGCAGGCTGTGCGGCTGCAGGCTGTGTGGCTGCAGGCTGTGCCTGTGGCTGCAGGCTGTGTGGCTGCAGGCTGTGTGGCTGCAGGCTGTGTGGCTGCAGGCTGTGTGGCTGCAGGCTGTGTGGCTGCAGGCTGTGTGGCTGCAGGCTGTGTGGCTGCAGGCTGTGTGGCTGCAGGCTGTGTGGCTGCAGGCTGTGTGGCTGCAGGCTGTGCGGCTGCAGGCTGTGTGGCTGCAGGCTGTGCGGCTGCAGGCTGTGCGGCTGCAGGCTGTGTGGCTGCAGGCTGTGTGGCTGCAGGCTGTGTGGCTGCAGGCTGTGTGGCTGCAGGCTGTGTGGCTGCAGGCTGTGTGGCTGCAGGCTGTGTGGCTGCAGGCTGTGTGGCTGCAGGCTGTGTGGCTGCAGGCTGTGTGGCTGCAGGCTGTGCGGCTGCAGGCTGTGTGGCTGCAGGCTGTGCGGCTGCAGGCTGTGTGGCTGCAGGCTGTGCGGCTGCAGGCTGTGTGGCTGCAGGCTGTGTGGCTGCAGGCTGTGCGGCTGCAGGCTGTGTGGCTGCAGGCTGTGTGGCTGCAGGCTGTGTGGCTGCAGGCTGTGTGGCTGCAGGCTGTGTGGCTGCAGGCTGTGTGGCTGCAGGCTGTGTGGCTGCAGGCTGTGTGGCTGCAGGCTGTGTGGCTGCAGGCTGTGTGGCTGCAGGCTGTGCGGCTGCAGGCTGTGTGACATCATGCAGCAGATCTGATGCGGAGGGAGGGGCGGAGGGGGAGGGAGGAAAAGAGAGCGGGAGGGAGGAGGAAAAGGGTCGAAGCAGATGAGATGAGAAGCGTAATTCACTCTAGCTTCTTTCTCACATCCAGACTCGCTCTTCTAAGCAACTTCCTGCAAACCCCAGTCACTGCCATGAGCTTCTGATTCTCAAAACTGCCTGCCTGCCTGCCTGCCTGCCTGTCTGTCTGTCTGTCTGTCAAAGCTGCCTGCCTGTCCCCACTCACCTTGCGGTTCTTGCCTGCTGCCAACTGGGGAGTGGGTGGTGCGGTGTGTGGGTGGAGATGTGTTTTTTTTTAATAGTCTCAAAGCACACCTGCCTGTTACCACTCACTTAAATTTTCCTCCCTGCTGCCACTCACCTTCAGCTTCTTGCCTGCTGCCAACTGGGGAGTGGGGGGTGCGTGGGTGGAGAGGTCGCAGATAGGCCTGCTGCCCCCTGATGCCTCCAACGCCCTGAGAAAGAGGGTGGAGGGAAATGGAGGGATGCACCATGGGAAGGTTTGAGCGGGGGAGGGGAGGTGTGTGAGTGGGAGGTCACAGATAGGTCTGCTGCCCCGTGATGCCTCCAGTGCCATTAGGGTGGGGAAAGTGATGGAAGCGAAGCAGGGGGAGAGGGGCAGGGAAAGAGGAGAAGACAAGAGTGGGGGGTGCGTGAGTGGAGAGGTCACAGATGGGCCTGCTGCCCCCTGATGCCTCCAACGCCCTGAGGCGAAGATGGGGAAGAGATTGGCCACGGGCAGGTGAAGGAAGAGTGAGGGGAAGAGGAGAGGGAGATGGGGGGTGCGTGTGAGTGGCGTGGCGAGGTCATAGATGGGTCTGCTGCCTCCTGCTGCCTCCATTGCTCTGAAATAAGAAGCATGCCATCTAGCCAGCAACCCATGCACACACCGTTAGTCCACACGTGCATCAAACGCAACATCCCTTCGCTCCGCCAGTCCCTGCTGCCCACCACAAGCGCCAAAGCACGCCACCCACACAAGAGACAAAGCACGCCACCCACCACACGTGCGAGTCCTTGGCGCAGGCGAGCACCTCGACAGCTGGCACACGCGGGTGGCGCCAGCTGGCAATGGTGTGGCAGACGGTTTTGGGAATGGCATGCTTCATCCGCCGCACCTCCTGCAGGGAACCGAGGGGGTAAGGCAAGACAATACATAAGTGGGAAGTAAGAGAAAAGGGCAGATGGTAAGTGGTGAGGTGAGTAGACCCAATTCAAAGTGTGGCAGGCAAGCGGCCTTGAAATGGCATGCTTCATCTGGCAAACCTCCTGTATCAGATAGTAAACAAGACACGACGAGGCAAGGCAAGAGATGGACCGGGAAGGGAGGGGAAAAGGCAGATGGTAAGTGAGTGCAGCCAAGTCAAGTGTTGCAGTCGGCCTTGGGAATGGCGTGCTTTATCCGCCGCACCTCCTGCAAAGATTAGACACAAGGAAAGGCAAGGCGAGGCACAGTGAGGCAAGACATGAAGGGGGAAAGGGCAGAAAATAAGCAGTGAATGAATCGCAACTCAAATACGGGGGAATATCAGCCTTGGGAATGGCGAAGCAGGGGAGAGAATTGCATCTCTGTGTGCTCCCCTGACAGCATACTCAGTAAGAAGTACAAGAAAGGAGCACACCTCGATACATCCTGAACCCCTGACATCCTAGCACCAACCAACGCACCCGGAACAGGGTGGTGTTGGTCTTGTCAGCACTGCACATCACAAGGTGCACTGCACTGCACCGTACCGCACTTCACCGTACCGCATTCTGACTCTGATAACGCACCCGGAACATGGTGGTATCCCAGAATGCCACGGCTTTGTCACCGCCGCACGTGACCAGATGGGGGGCAGCGCCGTGGATGCGCGCCAGGCTGATCCCCACCACCCCCCCGTCATGCGCCTTGGGGAGAGTGATCTTGGGCGCTTGCATACCTGATCACACCACACCACACTACACTGCACCGCACTGCACCGCACCATACTCCAACTCTGAACGCACCCGGAACATGGTGGTATCCCAGAATGCCACGGCCTTGTCACCGCCGCACGTGACCAGATGGGGGGCAGCGCCGTGGATGCGCGCCAGGCTGATCCCCACCACCCCCCCGTCATGCGCCTTGGGGAGAGTGATCTTGGGCGCCACCTCCTTTGCTGCGCTTGCTTGTGAGTCCGCCCCCCACATGACGAGAGTCCCGTCCGCTCCTCCTGATGCCAGCATCATCTGGGAAGCGGGATAGGAGAGCAAGGAATGGATTTGGGGAGGAAAGGGAGAGCCGTGCTGATGCCCACCAAAATTCCCGCCCTCCACATGACCAGCGTCCCGTCTGCTCCTCCTGATGCCTGCATCATCTGGGGGGAGAGTGAGGTACGGAGTGCAGGGGAGGACTTTCAGGCGGGTGCAGCAAGGGAAGTAGTAGCGCTCCAAAAGTCCCGCCCCCACATGACAAGAGTCCCGTCCGCTTCTCCTGATGCCAGCATCATCTGGGGGGGGAGTGAGGTATGGGAGCGCAGGGGAGGCAGAGAGAGAGCAAGGAAGGGGTTTGGTAGGAAAGGTAGAGCAAGGCTGATGCCCACCACCTCCCCGCCGTGCGCCTTGGGGAGAGTGAGCTTGGGCGCCACTTCCCTTGCTGCACTCGCCTGGGAGTCCGCCCCCCACATGACCAGCACACCATCCGCTCATCCTGATGCTAGCAGCATCTGGAGAAGGGATGGGAGAGCAGGAGCACGGGAGAGGGAGCAGGGAGGTGAGTATAAGAGGTACTGGGGAGAGTGAGCTTGGGTGCCACCTCCCCGGATGCGCTCGTTTGGGAATCCGCCCCCCACATGACCAGCACTCCATCAGCACCGCCTGATGCCAGCAGCATCTGAGCAGGGTGACGGATGAGAGAGCATCGAGGGTACAGAGGGCGAGAGCAAAGGAAGGGGTTAGGATAGTTAAGGGAGAGCCAGGCGAATACCCACCACTCCCCCGTCATGAGCCTTGGGGAGAGTGAGCTTGGGCGCCACTTCCCTTGCTGTGCTCGCCTGAGAGAGTTCGCTCCCCACATGACCAGCATGCCTGAGAGTTGGAGAGGGAGACCAGGGAGGGTGAGCAGGCAAGAGAGAGGGACAAGATCCGTGTTTGTTGTGTGGCCCACTTGTCCGCCCATGTGCTGCCCTGCCCTCTTCCCTTACCACGCCCACCTCCCCTTTGCACTCACCTCCCTATTGCCCGCCATGAAGGGCAGCAGGCAGTGCACTGCGCCCTTGTTCCCTCTTGTGTGTGTGTGTCCCATCCACCCGCACATGTGCAGCTCCGTCCCTCCCGTTCCCATGCCCTTTCTCCTAGCCTCCCACCCGTCCTCACCTCCCCATTGCCCGCCATAAAGGGGAGCAGGCAGTGCACTGCGCCCTTGTGCCCTCCTGTGAACTTGCGCGATATCTGAGGGGCGAATAGGGAGGCAAACAGAGAGGCAGGGAGGGGAGGCATGGAGGCAGACAAAAGCAGGCGGAGTCACATAGATTAAACGGACACAGACACAAGGAGGGTCCCGGACAGACAGAGACAGGCAGGGATGGGCAGAAATACGCACCGGGACAGGAGCAGAGGGATAAGGTTGGGGCCCGAGCAGCAAGAAAGAGCGAGTCAGGAAAGCAAAAGCGCGTTCAGAAAAAGTGGATCTTCGAGTGGCGAAAATCAGTGCAGGCTTTGTTCACCTGCCAGCCACCTGCCAGCCACCTGCCAGCCACCTGCCAGCCACCTGCCAGCCACCTGCCAGCCACCTGCCAGCCACCTGCCAGCACGCTCGCGGCTCACCTGCCAGGTTGCGAGGGAGAGCACCCGAATGGCTCCATCAGGCCCTCCAAAGCACGCAAAGGGACCGTCGCCCAGCGCACTGGAGCGAGGTAGAAACTCCACACTGGTGAGGAGAGGGGGTTGTGGGGGGGAGGAGGTGGGGAAGGAGGTGGGGGAGAAAACAAAGAGAAGCATTAGCTCGCAGCCAGTTTCATTTCAACAAGTTGATGGCGTCACATTGAGCCCATTCTGGATTCTTAGAAGAATGCTCACAATGTCTATCAACTCATCAAAGTGGAAAGAGACTGGCAGCAATTTGGGAATGACCTTTCAGAGTTCTCAGGAAAATTCTACAGCTCCTCCCATCTCACCAAAGCAAAAATAAACTGTCAAGCAGCAGGGTGGGAGTGTCCTGTGAGAGTTTTCAGAAGCATGCCACAGCTCAAAACTCCTCTTGGCTTACCAGAGTGAAGAGCGATTGTTATGCAACAAACTCCTCTTAACTCACCAAAGCGGAGAGCGGTTGTCCAGCAGCAGCTTGGGGATGTCTTTTGTTCTCATCGTCACAAGGTCGGCGACAATCGCCTTGTTGTCACAGCATACAAACAAGAACCGCCGCCCGCGCACCGCGGACGGGGCGGCGCCGATGGGCGGCACAAGGAGGCCGGCAGATGTAACGGTGGGGGATTCGGCTACTGCCGCCCGCGCAATGGCTCCAGTCCAAAAGCGAACATCGTCGTCATAAAACTTAACGTCCTTCACTCTGGAGGGGTGTAACAGGTAGATGGGCAAATGGGACATGTGAAATGAGGAGTTCAGCCTGCTCAGCCGCCCTGCTGCTTGCACCACTGTTGCCCGGGCAATGGCTCCGGTCCATCGTCGTCATACAACTTAACGTCCTTCACTCTGGGAGGTGGTGGGGGAGCAGGGGATAGAGGGATTGGTGGTGGAATAGAGAGTAGGGCAGAGCATGTTAAACAGCAGGTGGGGGATACGGCCACTGCTGCTTGCACCACTGCTGCCCGGGCAATGGCTCCTGTACAAAAGCGAACATCGTCGTCGTCATAGAACTTGACGTCCTTCACTCTGTGTGGGTGGGGGAGAAGGAAGGGACAGGTGATGGTGGGATGGGATGTGGGAGAAGGGGATAGAGGGAACAAAACGGGGGAAAAGGGGAATCGAAAAATAAGGGATAGGGGGAATAGGGGAGAGAGAGGCGCAGGAGGAAGCAAGGGGAGCAGGAAATAGGGGAGATATGGGATAGATGGAAGCAGGCACTGCTTGGTTGAGGGGGGAAGGTGGGCGTTGTGGTGCACAGTGGAACGGAGCAAGAGAAGCAGAAAGGGGTTCACCAAACGGAGCAGTGAAGAACGAGCGGCAGCAGAGGAATGAACACTCAGCCACGGAAAGGGATCCACCACACAGAGCTTTTGGACAGGGGGGAAGAGGTGCCGGTGTGTACTCACCCTCCTCCTCGTATGGCCTCTGCTCCCACTGCTGACGACCGTGTCTTGGCATCTGCAGGGAAGGAGAAAGCACGCCGCAGCAACAAGGAGAAAGAAGTGTATGGCGCTCGCACGTGCCTGCGTATCCGATTTGAAACGCGTGCGTAGTGCCAGCTAACTTCCGATTTGGTCACACAGAGAAAAAAGGGAGCAAGGCTGCAAAGGCACCGATTTCGCTCCTCCTTCCCATCAGCCCACTCACACAACTGCTCCCCTACAGGCAACAACGCTAAGATCTAAGGGCACCCTAAGAAGTAATCCACTCACGCTCCTCCCCATCGGCGATGCGCTGCAGCTGCGCGTCCACCAAACGGCGCTCGTCCACCCCCCCCGCGTTCACCTCGTATAGCACCTGCCGGGGCCACCAATGGGGTCAACAGTGTCATCAGTGCACCGATGGCAATCATTACAAATACATTGGCATCATGAATTCACCTCATGCAGCACCTGCCAGCGCTACTAGTGTTATTGAGGATCATCAGTGCTGTCAGGCGCTGACAGTGCTAATAGCTATAGACTATCAGGGCCATTGGTATCAGCACGTGAGCTTGCCAGCTGTCACCTGACAGCTACTCCAGGTGCTTTCCGAGTCGTATCAAACCGCGGCTCACCTCGAACAGCATTCCTAACTTACCCTCGAATTACAGGGTAAAGTACACACCTGGCGGTGTTCCCAGTCCCATACGACGACGTTATCGTGGCCGTCCGATGAGACGATCCACGGCAGCGTGGGGTGCACGTCCACGTGGTACACCTTCTCCGCGGTCGGCCGGAAGGCTTGTAACGAAATTGCGGACATGACGATACCGCGGATATGCGAAACGATGGAGATGCGACGCGAACGTCTAACGAGCCGTTAGTGGATACTAGAACACGTAGGCAGTCACGAGCGGAGGCAAGAAGCGTGAATAGCGGCGCAATAAGCGCGAAAGCACTCCGCGCTTCGAGGTGCCCTCGCTTTCCCTGTCAAGTACCCCCCTAAGATACCACTTATAACTGCGAAACACACTACTAGAGCCTCATCAAGTCAGCTCCCTCAAGAGCTTTATGCTGCGAAGTATAATGGGGTAGGGTAAGCTCGCCGCGTGCCGCTACCGTCAAAAACTTCCTAATTTGCCTTAGAGAGGTCTAGAACATGCGGTTCGCAGGACCACCCTAACCTCATTGCACAGATCACAGCATAAATCCAACACAATGCCTTGCATCAAAATTAGAAGCATTGGCTGGCATCTAGACTCTAGGTTTGACCCCAGGTTGTTCTGTTCTGCACCAAGTCTGGACGAACTTCCGTGGTTCAACTTCATTGCGCAACAGAGGTATTTCTCGGCATTCTCGAGGCAAAGGGTATTGGATGAACGACCGAGACCTTTGAATTCAGCTTCAGCTGGGGTTCATTTCCTATCATGTGCCTTGAATGACCCGCACTTGGAACGCGTTCGTTTTTGTTCGAGCCCATTCCGGCAACAAGCGTGTGCGAAGGCACAATACACTGGTTTCGTCCTCGTTAATGTTACTACTTTGAACTTGTGATTCTCCAAAACATTACCAAGCGTTCTGGACTCCGTCCTTTTTGTAGCACCAAAACAATGCCTGATTGACATTATGCTTATGAAGCGTACAATACTGCGTATCTTATCGAGTGTGCAACACAAATACCCAGTCAAACTCTTCAGGTGTACCGTACAGTATGCTCTGCTCCGTGCTTACAGCCTCGGAAGCGCCATAATCGGCGGATTTATGACTAGATGCGCAAATTCTAACGAGCCGCAATACCATACTCGGCCAAATCTTGGCGTCGTCGTCCTGCCGCTTCGATTGTAGTCGTAGACTGCCGCTAGTATGAGGGCGAATGTTACGTTCGAGTTTTGAGACAGCGTAGGGAACGACGGATGCCACGACCGAAACCTGTCGGCTAAGCGTTGCGGCCATGTATGCAGTTGGTATTATAGGGCGAATGCCGCCAAGAGAAATATGAGCGGTTAGCGGTTACACAGTATTGCAGCACGCGCACAGACTGTTGACACAGACTGCTCACACTGACTGCTGACTCAGATTCCTGACACTGACTGCTGACTCAGATTCCTGACACTGACTGCTGACAGCGAGTATCGCATACGCTTGAGAAAGGGGGTGTCGACCGCGTGTGTAAATCGCGGGGTCAATGTTCAGAGTATGCTTCTTCGTGCTCTCTTATTGCTAGGGATGTAGGCAACGAGACGCCCTTCTGAAGAGTAGGCAATACTATTTCTTCTATAACCAAGGCGCCTTTTCGTACTGATTCACGCAGTCATTGCATTCGTCGACGAGCTTCGCCACACCGAACGGTAAAAACAGAGTCGTAAGCAACATGTCCATCTCCGCAACCTCACCCCACCTCCACTTTTGAGACGTCTCAAAAGTATCAAAGGCGCCTCCACTCGCACAGAACCGCCATCCCCATCCCACCATCGCCGCGCCAGTGCCGTCTTACACTCGCTGCACCTTCCATCTCCTACTCGCCTTTCATTCCCACTCCCACTCCTCGCGCCGTGCCTTCCCTACCCACGGCTTAATTTCCATCCCATCCCTTCCCGCCCTTTCCCTCCAATTAGCTTCCTTCCTTTCCCTTCCCTTCCCTCCCCCTCCCATCCCTTCCCCCCCTTTCCCTCCAATTCACTTCCTTCCTTTCCCTTCCCTTCACCTTCCCCTTCCCCTACTCCTACCCCTTCGTTCCTTTCCCTTCCCTCCCCTCCCCTCACCCCTCCTCCCCTCCCGTCCCCTTCCGTCCCTTCCCTTCAATCCAACGCAGATGGATCCTTTGTTACCTGGTAACCATGCAGGTTCTGCCTCCAGTGCACCTCTGGCCTCACGAAATGGATCCCCAGGACGCATCATGGGTGTAGCGTCTCAAGGCTTATATGCGGCTGGCTCTCCAAGCTTATATGGAGGTTCTCCCACGAATGGGGGATCCACATGGTTTGCCGGTTCCCCTGTATACGCTGGTGCCGGCGGTGCTGGCAGTGGTGCTGGTGGGACTGCTGGTGGTGGCGGTGGTGCTGATTACGCTACTGGTGCAACCGGTGTTGCTTCTGCTGCTTGTGCTGCTACTACTGCCACAGCTGCTGCTCCTGCTGCCGCTGCTTCTGCTCCGTGTGTGCTGGGCAGTAGGAAGCGGGGGAGGGTGTTTGCAGAGGATGAGCTGGTGCTGGACAACTTCTTCAGCAGCAAACGGTACATGAGCGCGGTGGGTATATTAAATTGTGTATAAATAGCTCTATAACGAATAGCACTATAACGGGTACCGAGGGTGTTTGCAGAGGATGAGCTGGTGCTGGATAACTTCTTCAGCAGCAAACGGTACATGAGCGCGGTGGGTGTACTAAATTGTGATTTATAAGGAGTAGCACTACAGCGAGTAATCCCCTCTACAGCAAGTAGCACCAGTCGCAGAGTAGCCAGAGGAGGGAGTCACATTAAGCATGAACTCACATGCACATTCCAACCAAATAACATGCACGCCCCAGCTTACGCTCATGGCCTCCCTGTCCCCTCGTGCCTTCCTCTCCATGCCTCATCTTCCCCAGCTGATCACCAAGAGCCTCACCAACCTGTGAGAGGGAGACACTCACATGCACACCCCACTTCTCAAGTACCACCTCCCCCCATCTCCCGCTCTCCCCTCTCCTTCCTGGCCTTGCCTTGCTCCAGCTGATCGCCAACAGTCTCACCAACCTGCGAGTGGAGGACACCCACATGGCTGGAGGAGCAGCAGGCGGAGGAGGAGTAGCAGGCAGCCCAGCAGGAGCAGGCAGAGCAGCAGCAGCGGCAGCTGCACTGGCAGCAGCAGCAGCAGTGGCAGCAGGGCGAGGAGGATCCATGGCATCGCCGCCTCCTGCTGCAGCAGCTTGGGCGGGAGCAGCAGCAGGAGGGGCAGGGGGGGCGTCAGCAGCAGCACGGCCAGTATCACCAGCAGCGCTACAATTAGGGGCGCCTACCATTCGAATGGGTGCAAGTGCAGGTGCAAGTGCAGGTGCAGGTGCAAGTGCAGGTGCAGGTGCAGGTGCAAGTGCAGGTGCAGGTGCAGGTGCAAGTGCAGGTGCAGGTGCAACAGGGTTTCCCGGCCCCCACACCAGCTCCTCCCCTGCTTCTGCGGTTTCAGGTGGTTTCTCAGGTGGTTCACCAGGTGCACCCAGCGCTTTTGTGGGGCTGCATTTACCTCCTGAGGCCCTGTTGCTGTCTCCTGGGGCGACGGAGACCACACAAACTGGCAGCGCTCGATCCGCCTCTCCATTTGCCAGCCACAAGTAAGCATCGCGCCTGGAACATTCGTATTTTATGTGCTGAAGGTCCTGAATTTTGATGAGGAGGATATTTTCATTCATTCTGCGCATCAGTATTATGCCACTCTTCAAACTTGTGTTTTTTACGTGGTTATTGATTACACCACCTGTAGTGATTTTCCTTTTTATGTTCTATCTATCCTTTTGTGCTTATAGCGAGGGCATGTCCTCCCCTGCAGAGTCCCTCTCAGAGGACAGCGAGGAGAGTGTTGGGTGGAGGGCTGCTGCTGCTGCTGCAGCCGCTTGTGTCACCTCCCCCTTTTTCATCACATCAGCGTCAGCATCAAGAGCAGGAGCAGCAACAAGTGTAGCAGCGGCACCAGAAGCAGGAGCTACAGCAGGAGAAATAAGGACAGCAGCACAAGGAGCAGCAGCAGCCGGCTCTATTGCACCCAGCTCAGAGCTCACCTACCCAAATCGCCCTCCCGCAGCCAGCACCTCCCCCTCCCGATCCCCCACGCTCACCTTCATCCCCCCCTCAGCCCCATTTGTACACGGCAGTGGGGGTGAGAGGAACATCTCTCCAGCCTCTGACCGTCGTTATCGCTCCCCTAGCCCTCGCTCCTCCCCTCGTGCTCCCTTCACTTATGCCATCAATAACAGTATTACCGGCAACCATACCACCGGCAGTGGTCTTAATGGTGGTAATACTCCCGCCAGTTTGCGGGCAGGTCAAAGTTTTCCCGCGCCGCTGCCCGGGCGGGACCCTCCCGCAAATGCTGGTATCTCCAACCTGGTTCGGGTACCGCCGGGTTTTTTGGGCAGGGGTCCGGGCAGTATCATAACCCGGGCGGCGCAGGGAAGGTTTTTGCATGACCAGCTGGACGGGCGGCTTCCTACGTCTCCTAATGACCCAAGTACTGCCAAGAATCTGCGGCGGGCGGCGCTGCTGCGATCTCAGATGATTCGAACTCAGAGCTCGTCGGGACTCAGTGACCCTGCTGCTGCTGCTGCTGTTGCTGCGGTTGCTGGAGGTGCTGCTGGTTGTGCTGGTGGTGCTGCTGCTGTTGCTGTTGGCTCAAATGTCCCTAGTGCTGGGGTTGGTGGTGCTGCTGCTGCTCTTCCTGCTCCTGTTGCTGCTGCTGATGCTGGTTGTATGCATGCTGCTGTTAGTGGAATGGTGGAGAACGGTACAAGATGGCAAGCAGGGGTGACTGGTGCGGGGAGTCTGGAGGCGACAAGAGGAGCAATGGGGGAGAGGGGTGCTAGGGACGAGAGGGAGGAGAGGATGGAGGGAAGTGATGGTGCTGGTCAGTTGGGGTACGGTCGAATGGAGTTTAGTCATCACACATGGGTGGACGGTGGTGCTGCTATGCCTGGTTCCTTCCCAACGCAGCAGCAGCAACAAGGGCAGCAGTGGCATCAGTGGCAGGGGCAGCAGCAGCTACAACTAGCGCAGCAACAACAGCAGCAACAGCAGCAGCAGCAGCAGCAAGGGACCGCAGGCAACGATTGCCGAAGAAGCATGGAGGCTTTTGTA